AAGAAAAGGGATTGGGGTAGGCTAAGGAGAAGCTCTAGATTCAGTTTATTAATTCATACAGATCAACAAAAAAAAGTTAATTTGAAACCTTGTGAACATGGCTCACGCAACATAAAAAGATTTCGATGGTTGTGCAAAAATGTAATTCCAATCCCATGACAAGTTAACAATGTACAAAGTACTCTTACATCGATTCTCTAACCATATGTTCAAAAACCAGAAATCAAAGCACAACTTGTGAACAAGTTTTTTGAGGAAAATGAAATTGACATCTTTAGTGTAGCTCGAGTAATAGTCGAGCAATCATATTTAAAAGACACATGCAATTATATTATAGTTTTGTGATGCTATCGTTATAGTTGTTGGTATTACTTATGTGTTCACCATCCATTCTTTCCAACTCTGGACAGATCTAAGCAAAAATTCAACAAGTGACAATTTTAGACGGTAAAAGATTGATTACCTCAAGTTTGAAAGTTTGATTCTTTTGCTTCTGATCCTGCTGGTCAGCACTGGACTCATTGTTATCATCTTCATCTTCCCTTTCAAGAACTACTTTGATGCACTCACCTGTCCTTGGAATGTATCCAAATGCCTCACACACAAAGCCTGATACTGTCTCATATTGATGACCCTGAAATTGCATGTTACCTAAGTATCGAGAGGGCTGAAATTCTTCATCAGACTTAACATTATGAACAGTAAGCAAAATTAATTCCAAAATGAGATCATTGTCTCAAAAACTCTAAACCCAAGGATGCATCAAATGTTATTATAGTTAACAGCATAATTTTCCCCAAAATATAGCATATTTGCGCATTTTCCCAATTTGTCCATGACTTATGTCGAAATAACAAGCTGGCATAGAAAATGCGTTGACAATGTGCCTACTTTAAATTCAATGCTGTGGGGTGCCTATTTGAGATGCAAAGATAGGTCTACAATGCTACAATGATTCTGAGGAGTAAATTCATAAAAAACTTAGTTCATGCTATACTAATAGGAAAACTACACAATCTCCAGTCAGATAAGTAGGGTCATAGAAGACAAATGACAGTTTCATGTAATCAAAGAAGTGTTAGACCTCCGGCATCTTGATGTTCAAATCCTCTGAGAGCTGATCAATAGATGTGTTTGCATCCACATCAAAAACACCCTCAGCTCGCATTACTATGTAACCAGTTTTTTTCTGAATCTCCTCCTGTAGTAATCACCAGGAAAGTAGTTGTTTAAATGAAAAAATAGTATGGAGTATTATATTAATCAATTAGGTCCGTAATTTCAAATAACTTTTGTCTTTTCTGGGTGTTTTAATGATGATGTAATTAAAATCTATAATATGAAGTTTTGTCCATAAATAAAACTGTGTGTTAGAAGGGATAATTGTTTGCTACTGATTTTGATTTCTTGATAAAAAAAGTATTCAAAGTTCTTACTTATTGAAAAGTTTATAAGAATCTTCTAAAATCTTAGCAAAAGATATACACTCCAGAAGTACAATTAAACGAAAGCAGCCTTGAAACAAAATATAACAAGATTATTTCGGGAAACAAAATAAATAAATAAATATTTATTTTTTTCATTTAAAAAACTTAGAATTGTGATGTCTTACCCACCAAAGAAAGTGTGATCTAAGGAGGAAAAGTTGAAGGCTTTAGAAAAATTAAGAAGCATTCAACAATATATCTTGTGTTGGTGTGAACATCATAACTAATTATCTTGTGTTATAGTGTGAACACAATTAAAAAAAAATAGTTTCAAAAGTCAGCAGCAGCACCACATCCTATTTTATTATCAACTTCAATTAATGATCTTATTCATATACTTAATTAATAATTTAGTATAAACCTTCATAACTATTCATTCCCTCTGTCCTCAATCAATTGTCTTTACATGATTAGTAGTATATCAAAGGCATTCATTACATAACCTTGTGTGTATTTTAGTCATATCCACCTCACCAACTTGACTCAACTCAAATCAAATTATCAAATATTATAAGGAAGCATTTTTTTTCAATTTAATTCACTAGGTGCACATATAAACTAATTAAAACTATAAAAGTCTCATATATATATATATAATTATCATAGATAATATTTTTTTACTTTATAATATAAACTATAAAAATAATTTAAAATTTTATTCATTTTAAAAGTTTGGCATTAACATTAAAGAAAAATAAATTTCCTTTTATTGAGTTGACTATGTAGTAATATATATAGTTTAGTTAATTTAAGTACATCCTTAATACACATGTTGTAGCGTACTAGTATCCACTGTTCACTATCTTAAAGAAATAAAACTAGGAAGACTGAGTTAAGTTTTGACTTTTGAACTATTTATAAAAAAAATAAGCATCTAGAAGCTGCATGATCATGCATGGTTGTGTGAACAAAAACTCACGTTACGTAACGATGACATCATCAACTCGTGAAGTGATGAGGTAAGCAATTAAGCACCTTATTACACTGAAAAAGAAATATTTAGGTTATCATATGTGGATGTCCCTTAACAGATAAGAAATACTAATTAATAAATTAAAATAATTTGTAAATATATTATATAATACATTTTTAAATATTTTCTTAACATTTTCCCGAAAACAAAGGTTTAGCAAATTTTAGAGTTGACTTTTAGGGTTGACTTGTTTGAGTTTATGACCCAATTATGGCAAACGCGTTGAAATCCATAAAAGGTGGATCGCACCAGCTATATAGCAAGTTACTAAGTTGAACAACATTCTCGTTGTATAATATATATAATGCATTGATTGGTTGTAACATTCACACTTCTAACTAAGAAGAATCTTGCTAACAAACAAGAAGAGGAATCGGAAGTTAAGCTAATATAATCTGAGGAGAATATGACTGCGAGGGTAAGAAATTTGCTTCATTTACTTTCAGTTTTTGTATTTTCCTACTTCCTCAAGAAGCTTCATGCCAGTTCATAGAAACTTTTTTCTGTTTCCATTGATTATAGTTAAGAATAGGTTTGAATATATATATACAAGGTTACTTATGAAGGTGTGTACTATAAATTATGCAGCAAAAGATAGAAATTGAGGTGCCAACCCACTGGTGGAAATGCCAGAAGAAGATTATGTCGATATGCACCACAGCATATGGTATGCAGAATGTTTATCAGTTTAAGATGACTACTAATACATGCTAGAGAATCTGATGATGAGAGTGAAAATTTTCGTGTTTTGTGAATGAATGGTGTAGGTGTTTGTTCGGTTAGTTTTGAAAGGGAAGGCAAAGAAAAAGTGGTGATTAAAGGAGAAGGAGTAGATGCAGCAGGGGTGACAGCATGCTTGAGGGAGAAGGTGAACAAGTATGCCGCTAATTACTGGGTAGGATACATGAACAACGTTCGAGAGAGTTCAATGTTTCACCATATTCATGTCATGCTGTTAGTTTTTTGTAAACTTTAGAAACTGAATTTTGGACTGCCATATAGTTATAGTTTCGTGTATAAGTTTATCTCTGATATTCATGTGTTATAGAAATCAGAATGTGATTTTATTTGCTGACACTTTCCTAAATTTCCCAGCGAAATTGTATCCATCATTATTTGTACCATGGTTCATTTGTTCAAATTTTATATACAAAGGAGCATGCCCTATTTTATATGTATAAATAATCAAATTTTAATCATTCTTTCTCTCTGCAATTTTGCGCAATAATCTCATAATATATATAAATTATTATCATCATCTATTGTTACTGTTTTTATGTGGTTTTTAATTAGAGTCAATTATTATACATTTTATTTGTTTTAAAGTTCAATTGTATTCTTAAAAAGTTTCAAAGGTTGAAAGAGAAAAAAGAAAAGCATTTAAACTATATTTAACCTTAACTCCTAAATAATAATGTGAAACTATTAAATATATAATGAGTGGTTTATGTTGGAGAAAATGTTTAAGAGAATTTATTTGAATTAATCATGTATAAAAGTATTTATAACATTAAAATATTGTATTTTTAATTTATTTCAGCAAGTTTTATTTTAATTAGTATAGTGTACTTAACAATTAGATTTGGAAATTCTCATTTGATCAGAGTTTATTAAACAAGTATTTAATGGGTTTTCTGTCAAAAAGATTAATCGTGTATATACTGAATAAATTGAATTTTATGGCTAGAGCATCATTGACATGGGAATTAAATTGTCTCCTTCAAATTAAGTTTCAAAACACAGACTTGTATATTTGTCTACGTTAAGGGATTTATGAAGTTCAGTTAAGTTAATTTTAAGTTAAAACATTCAAAAATGAACTACAATATATTTTTGGTGAATTTAACAACTGTTCCTTTATTTAATTTATAATTTTTGAACAAGTTATTTTCAATTAATTCATGTGTAAATTGTGTATCTTATAATGGAAATCCATAGTTTCTCACATCAAAATTTTTGTGTAACTCTCGTAGTACATTATAAATAAGGTTAGTACATTATATATTATGGAAATTTTGATTAAACTTAAAATAAGTCTTTTTGAAACAATTAACTTTTAAAATATTACTTGTTAAAAAATATATAGCATGTTTCTTAAAATTAATAAAAAAAATATTTACTTTAAAAATAAACAAATCAGATAAACATGTAAAAAAGAGCAACAGAATTATTTTTTGGTTAAATAAGTACTTTAGAAAGTACACAAAGCCATCTCATATTCATAAATTGTTATTAAACTTGTTGGAATAAGTTAAATTTTAGTTTATTCTCAATTAAATAATATATCGATTTCACACCATATTTTGTACTAGAATTTAAACTAAAACCTATATACTGTAACCCCAAAAAAGAAATTAAATACCAGATACATACAAATCAAGATATATAATCACTTATTACTTTGAAGATGTGTGTATACCATTATAAGTAAGTTCATATTTGATTTAAGAAGAAATGTCTTTGTGTACAAAAAACTGTAAAAAAGCTTTGGAAATTAGGAAGCTTTGAAAAGCAATAAAAGCCCTAAAAAGCCACCACAGAGTAAAATAGCCATCCAAAGATAGAGATGTGTGTGGGGTTAATCAAAACTGACATCTTATTACACCAAAAGCTTAAAGACTTTTGTTAGCATAGACGCCTGTAATTTGTCTTTGCAGGGTTTTTGTGTTTCAACTCATTGCTCCTCATTTTGTACACGCCTCTCAATTTTCCCATGTTATAGATTATTGCAAAAATGGCACAAAAGCATGCCAGGTATAAAGAAAGGGGAAAAAAGAGATGAAAAAAACGAAACAAGCTTATTTTGTACTAGAACTTTCGATCAACTAAATATCACTAGAAAATGTCATCATGTGGTTCCTTTGCAAATGTATATCCATCAATTATGTTTCATCCTCCAAGTTTTCAGCGTTGTTCCATTTTCTCTTCATGATTTTGGGGACCATGCGAGTGACTTTAGTCTCCAACATCTCATCATTATTATTTATTCTTTCAAACCGAACTGCGCTCACCTTTCTGGCATTTCCAGCTAGTATCTGCACCAAAGACAAAGCAGCTGCGTGTTTTCCATTCTAATATATATATATTATTGTAATATTATATGACTGATGTTACTCTCCCTGTCATGATAGTCATCATTGTGTCATTTTATCTGCATCTTGATTTTCCACTGTGCCTTTAACAAGAAGAGAAAGAGAATGCTCACTGTGAAAGTTAGAATATTTAGAAAGTTTCTTCTGAAAAATTTATTCTAAAAAAACACTACAAAAGTCTAGTTGGAAAATATATTATATATGTATTTAAGAGATTTTTAGAATAGATAATACATAAATTATTTTTTAAAAGATAAAATGGTTATTTTAAAAAATATATGAGTGCAATTACAAATCATTGAAGTATAGAAATAAAAAGGCTTATTACACAATAGATAAGCTGTTCATACAAGAAAAAAGCTAAAAATGATAAAAATATATTAAAACATATTAAAATATAAACAATAATAATTAAGTTTTAAGTTAGTTAAAGTAGTTTGCAACTTAACTCAAACATATAAAACAAAACATTTTACTAATTAAATTATTTTACAGTAATCAAACTAATTTGTAAATTAGTCAAATAATATTAACATTTTTCAGATATAATAATAGGAAGATTCACTGTCAGGTAACCATGAAGAAACATCTATTATTATAATTAGTACCAAATGAACTAATACTCTAATAACTCATAATAATTGAATACAGACATATAGTTATTTATTAATTAAATAGTCACATATAATGTTCAGTGTCTTATGGAAGTCTTATTCTATTTTGACGGATAATTTGAATCTCTTCAAGATTATTTGATTTGACCTAATGCATAATATACAAGATATTATAATCCTCAATAAAAATATATTACATGCTAAATTAAGTTTTTTATTTTTAAAAATAAAAATCTTGTGCATTATTATACAAATTTTATTAAACAAATTTAAAATTGCATTTGAGAGTATTATGAGGAGACAGTTATCTTCTAATAAAAAAAAAGTATGTGATACTAAGTAAATATAAATCAATGTAATAGTATATAAATAAATAAAAAAGTGTAAAACATTATATAATCATTAAAAAGGTATAATTTAACTCAAATGATTATATTTAATTATTCATAATAATTAACAGTTAATATTTATTCTTCTAATTTTCCTTTGTAGACTTGCAAAAGTCAAACTATTTCTTCTGTGGAATTTTAATATTTTGGTTTTATTTCTTATCATGACTTTTTTTTATTAAATCTTTTACTGAAAAGAGGGATTACAAGAAAAAATATAAAACATTTAAAAGTTATAAAGATAAAAAGAATTAACTACATCAAAAATTAAAATTACTTGAACGAAATATGTGAATTGTTGTTAAACCTCTTACATATGTATTCAATTCCTATGAAAAAAATTATTATTATATTTTTTATTAATTGAAAACAAATATGAACTTTTGTAGTATTCCTAATAACTTCCATCAATTAAAAATGATATTGAATAAATTTTAAAAATTAGTTTGTTAAATATAATTTGAAGATCGTGATGTAAAAATGCATCTCCATATAACTTACTTAAATTTCATCACGTGATAGACAGATCCAGAAAAGGTGGTGAATCACACACTCCAAGGTATTGAACACATGCATTCTCTCTATATATAGTAGCATGCATGTAAGAGGAATTCCATGAAAAGACAGAAAGAAAGAAAGAAAGAAAGAAGAATCTCAAATTAAACTGTTATGTCTGTAAGTAATAATTATATTCTTTTGAATTTCAGTTTTTCTTTCTTCTTTGTCAAGAAAACTTCAACTTCATTGATCACTACCATTCCATGTAATAATCAATCTTCTTTTTCCATAGATGAGTTTCATTTGAGGTAGCTAATTTTACACTGTGTACAGCAAGTGATCACGATTAGGGTGCCACTTCACTGTGAGAGATGCAGGAGGAAGACTATGACTATATGCATGACTGCAGATGGTGATCATGCATCTCACAAAACACTTTCAGTCATCATAAAATCTTTTATTTTGTACTTAATATTATATATTAATTTATATGCATAAATATAAAGCTTAATAACTGTTTATATATATAGGTGTTAATTCTGCTGCTTTTGAAGGAAAAGACACAATAGTGATGAGAGGAGAAAGAGTAGNTAATTCTGCTGCTTTTGAAGGAAAAGACACAATAGTGATGAGAGGAGAAAGAGTAGATGCAGCAGCAGTCACAGCACGTCTGAGGCAGAGGGTGAGCAAACATGCTATGTTAGTCGGTGTAGCCAATGATGGATGAACAGATTCATAATCATCATCATTTAGATATGATTTTATATTTCAATTTTTGTATAATTGTGAAATTATAATAATTACTATATGAATTTTGTATCTTTATCTTGGTATAAGTTAATGTGTTATTTCTACTATTCTCATATGTGAGTGGCTGTAGCATGAGTTGCAGAAACTCTATCTACCTCAAATCATATGAAAGGAGCATGTTATAATTTGACTATGATATTATTCTGTAAATGTCTTATCTATTACTTTCAATGCACAATCTTTCTAAATTTAAGTGTAATTTTTCACTTTATACATACATATATATATATATATATATATATATATATATATATATATATATATTATTTTATGTCTTTTTAATGATAATTAATTTGAATAATTAAAAGGAATTGTCAATTTTTTTCTAATATATGACAACTTTCATGAAGTTGACATAAGTATAATTATGTTACATAATCAAACCTTTAATTCTGTCTATGTTGAATGAATGAAGTTTCATGCTGGAACATCATTAACAAGGGAATTAAAATATGTCACTTTTAAATTTAAAAACACATTCACACGTTTGAAGAAGAAAATAGAAACAAAAACCATGATATATATGTTTTGTTACAAAGTCAACCAGTAAGGACAGATCATATATATACTGCCAGAACTTGCTTTTGAAAGGGTCAAAATAACATGTTGGGTTGTTGCTTCTTAAATGAACATTTCACTACTTTAAGTTGAACATTTTATATTAAGTTTCATCTCATTTTTTCTTAAACATTCCAAACTATCTAAAAAAAATCACAGTTTTTGTTTGTTATTATGAGATTAAACAGTTAATTCGAATTATGAGATAGATGTATAATGTGTATCTCTTTCAACGGAAATGAATATATATCTAATTATTAAGAAAAATGAATCTGTCCATCTAACTATTAAGAAGAGGTTAAAAAAAAATTACACATGTATAAGCTTATAATACTCATGTTTAAAAAAATTATATAATCAATTAGGTCCGTAATTTCAAATAACTTTGTCTATTTGATAATCTATAATATGCCGTTTTGTCCAATAAATAAAACTTTGTGTTAGAAGAGATAATTTGCTACTGATTTTGATTTCTTGATAAAAAAAAGTATTCAAAGTTTCTTACATTATGAAAAGTTTATAAGAATCTTCTAAAATCTTAGCAAAAGATATACACTCCAGAAGTACAATTAAACGAAAGCAGCCTTGAAACAAAATATAACAAGATTATTTGGGAAACAAAATAAATAAATAAATAATTTTATTTCTTTTCATTTAAAAAACTTAGAATTGTGATGTCTTACCCACCAAAGAAAGTGTGATCTAAGGAGGAAAAGTTGAAGGCTTTAGAAAAATTAAGAAGCATTCAACAATATATCTTGTGTTGGTGTGAACATCATAACTAATTATCTTGTGTTATAGTGTGAACACAATTAAAAAAAAATAGTTTCAAAAGTCAGCAGCAGCACCACATCCTATTTTATTATCAACTTCAATTAAATGATCTTATTCATATACTTAATTAATAATTTAGTATAAACCTTCATAACTATTCATTCCCTCTGTCCTCAATCAATTGTCTTTACATGATTAGTAGTATATCAAAGGCATTCATTACATAACCTTGTGTGTATTTTAGTCATATCCACCTCACCAACTTTGACTCAACATCAAATCAAATTATCAAATATTATAATGAAGCATTTTTTTTCAATTTAATTCACTAGGTGCACATATAAACTAATTAAAACTATAAAAGTCTCATATATATATATATA